TTTGGATCCTTTTATTTAGTTTGTCTTTTAATAAAATGTAGTGTGTCTTATTTGATAAATATAAAGTTAATTATGCACGAAAACGAACCAAAGGCACAGCAATTACAAAATAACAAAAGTTATGTACAATAATATGAGCCGTTTATTTTGTTACATAAATCACTTTTTCAAAAAAATCGAGTTAATGGTAACACTAATTACAATTGAACGGTATCTTTTCATTTAAAAAAAAAAGAGTGACTTATGCCACTTTCAAAATAAACGGCTCATATCTATATACCTCACTCCTACAAGATTTTTCTTCCTTTCTAATGAGGATCCATGGATCCTTTTGGATCCCTACCATTTTACTACGCATCCAATCCGCAGTGTATCCTGCCTTAGCATTGAATCGATAACCAATCAGAGCAGAGCAATTTCTACTCCTATTCTCGCTAACGTAGCAAGAGAGATTTGCAGGAGTGAGATATCATTGTATGTATAGTATATACATAGGTAGGTACATAACATATCTATGTATGCCTGATTTTACCAAATATGTATGTGTAATTAGGTTATTTTCAAGAAAGCTATAGAAATTGCATTTAGTAAGCTTTATTTGTATTGTACATACTTAACGTATAACAACATTTGTGTAGATACAATTTTCCAAAAAACAACATCATGAATTCTACAAATGTAATTTCAGAACAGAATTTGACGCACCGTAATGACTTCAAATGTCAGTACAATTTAATTACTATGCCGCAATTTCCGCGTGCCGGTTGCCGCATACCGTTGACAGACAGGTTATTTGATTTTTACTATAATGGACGATGTAGAAGCTCCAATTTTTTACGACGATGAGGGTGATTTTATTGGGCACGAGTATTTCCAAGATACAGATTATGAGTACGAGTACGAGGAAAATGCTGAAAGAGAAACGTTGCTGGAATTATATCAATATTGTCTTGGTCCCACTGTTTATGATACAGCATTATATATGCTACCCCTATTTGTTTCCATGATTTTATTTCGATTATGTGCTCGTTCTCGTAAGATACAATTTTATATACAGTATATAATTGTAAAAATGAAATATAAGATAACATTGTTTTTATAAACTTTTATCTTTAATATTGCAGAATATGTAACGCATAAAACTTTTCATGTATTGTCAATGTTAATTGGCGTGTACAATATTTATCACTATGTGACAGAATGTTTATATATATTACTAGTACTTTGTATATTTTCATATATCACTTTACGCGTACTTAACAAATACTATAAAAGTTTAGGAATATTCTTACCGCCCCTTTTCATTATTGTATATTGGTAAGTCGCTAAAACACAAATATCATTTCTTTAAGAATTTAAAGCAATTTTTCTATCGTTGTTTTTATTTTCTAGCGAATTTTCTATGCCTCCAGTAATATGGCATAAAATACGCAGTGTTGTAATGACCATGGCAATGAAAACCATTAGCTTAGCGGTGGATAAAATCGATTCGAATGATTTACCAGATATTTACAGTTACATGGGATATGCTTTCTGTGGTGTCACATGTGTATTTGGTCCGTGGATATCGTTCAAGGATTATGTTTCATTACGGTATATAAATCATCAGGTACTAAACGTTACTTTTACCAAATGGACAGATATCTCGGTTTCAAGTTTTTTTGTAATCAATGTTAAATAGGTAACAGCGTATGTTTTTCAATTCTAGGATAAATGGTGGATACTGTACACTGCTCAATTCATATTTTTATCTTTTTTGTTTTTAACTATGTCAAACTGTTGGACACAGTGGATAGTAATGGACAGCTCTTGGAAGTATGTAAAAACTGACACAGAGAATTTTTATATTTTATATTCTAAAAAATATAATAATAGAATTCGTTATCGTTTCAGGTGGTTGTTAGCATATAGAGATGCACTATCTTTCCGAACGTCTCATTACTTTATTTCATACATAGCATCCACCGCATTATTAATAGGAGGATTTCCATATTCTCTAGCTACTTTAGTAAAACCACTGAAAGTAGAATTTCCAAGGTCGCTTGTACAAGTAGTTATTTATTGGAATATACCCATGCATTTTTGGTTGAAGACATGTACGTAATGATAATATGATTTATTTGAGGCATTCTTACATTTTTTCCCAAGAAATTCGCAGATTTATACTAATAGTCTATTGATGTCAATTTTTAGATATATTCCGTCCCAATATTAAACACATAGGAAAATTCGGAGCTGTGACCGTAACATATTTAACCAGTGCTCTTCTACACGGATTAAATTTTCAATTGGCAGCAGTTTTACTTAGTCTTGGATTTTATACGTACGTAGAATTTCAGCTTAGATCTATGCTTGCAAATATTTTCGACGCATGCATAGCATCCAAGCAATGTACTAAAAATAAATGTACACATATGTACAAATGTCAGAATTCTTGGTGGGTTCTTTTTATAAACTTAATGTTTTCTGGGTTGTCAGTTTTCCATTTAGCATATTTAGGTCTTATGTTCGATACATCCGAATTACAAGAGACAGGGTACAGTTATATTCATACTATCGAAAAATGGTCTCAACTTGGATTTGCTAGCCATTGGGTAATTTTTGCTACGTACTTTGTGTACTTTTTAATTAAGTAAAAACAGTACCGAACTATCTTTGAAATCTCTATTATCTTTAAACGATTTGCTCACAGTTAACTGTCCTAAATGAACAAATTATTAGTATTATTTTAAGTTATTTAAATGAATAGTGATAATATGCTGTGGATTTTACATTTTTGTACTAACATTTCATCTTTTTGATGAATTTTTAAAGTTTGCTACGATAATAAAGATAGAAGAAAAAGAAAACAAATAAGTATTATGTATTATACTATTATTAAGCAACATTACTAAGAAGATCTTTAGATTCCAGCAATTTCAGGGTTCTATAAGTATACCATGCAAAAAAGTTTATTTATGTGTGTGAATATGAAAATTTGAACATGCTGTGAATGCTTTGAACTACTTGCGACAAGTAGCGCTACCTGTGGTGAAATTTCGAAACAGAGTTAAGGGTTCTATACCACATAGTGACAAAACGCTCAAACTGTTCGCCAAGATTATCTACAAATGATAATTTTTGAAGATTTAATATTTTGACACAGATGGCACTAATAGGCTAAATCCACTAAGAATACACTCAAACCTCAGACGAGATACAGGAGAGAGACTTCACACCCATATGCTGTCCACCCTACCTTGATACCTCGTTTGTGCTCTTACAAAGATTGAATGGCGCTACTCTACATTTCCAGAGATTAGTTTTCTCTGTCGATAAATTTGTGTAATAGTTTAAGCATATTGTCACTGCGTGTAATTTTATTAACTCTTGAAGGAGGCGCGGCAAATTTGAAATAGTTAATGGTAAAAAATCTATATTTAATAAAATCATACTATTTCATGAACTGAATATTATTGCAAAAACAATTTTTATCATGTTGTATTTCAGTGAGAATGTTCGTCACATCGGTATACTTGACGTATACTGAAGAAAATCGTGAAAAATATCTCAAATGTGTGTGTATGTGTGTGTATGTACACGTAAATACATAAAATACGTTATAGTGCATGATAAAAACAGAGGAAACAGTATGTATGCATGTATGTATACAATTCTAGAAGTAAGTAAAATACATAGTTTTTATTAAATGTACAATACAATATAAAGTATGTTTACATGTGTATAGAAAACGCATTATAATCCAGCAGTATTTAATAGCTATAAAAAGTCTCATGTACTAATAGTTCTTAAATGATACATCATTGATATTTTATAGATATCAAATGGTATTTTGCTAAATTTTAATAAAATTATGACA